ATCTATAATTATGAAAGAAAAATATTCCCAAAACTTTTATAAATTTTATGATGGATAATTTACTAAAGGAAATGCCTCTTTCATTCACTACTCAATTTAATAGTTTACTTTTATTTAACTAAAAAAGGTATATCTACACCAAAAGAAGATGCTCTTTAAACATGTATTGTACTGATCAGGCGTAATGCTTGTAGCTTTTATTTTTCTCCAATAACTAATCCAGAAGTCAATAAAAATTCCAAGGAATGTGGTATTTGCATTGTAATTAAAATTTACAGTATACACAAAATGTCAATGATAGAGTGGTGCCCCCAAGTGGTACAATGAGAAATTACAACATACTGATAACTTTTTGGTGAGTTAATTGAACTAGAAGCATGTATGAGCCTATGTTTCATAGGAGCTGGCAGTAAGTGTCCTACAGCTCAGCTCAGACTCGCTGTCTACCCCACCTCCTTTAACACTGGCAGCAAGAGTTACTCTGACATATAAAGGTATCATACAGCTTGCTTACTGGCTCAAAAGGTAGAAGTATGTCTCCAAAACAAAGAAGGGTGTCAGATGTACTCTCAACTACTAAAGAAACAGCATTACAGAAATCTTTTAGCAAGTAGTCATCTTTTGGCCACCTCTAATTCCCTGTTTTTGTGATATGTAAAACAGAATTTAAAACTTTGCCTAACCAAATTGCTCGGATAATGAGTGGTGCTAATAATGTGCCATGCTCCCAGGCTGCAGGTTCAACCATCAATACTAGGGGGGAGGGGGTGTGGCTAAAAAGTAACAAGTTCAGTTTCCTGCCTCTGCACAAGTTTTAAGCATAACAGTTGCTAATGAGTTGGTATCTCACACAGCTAAAATGTTCACATTCTGAGTTCTCTTTCACGTTCTGAATGGGTCAGCCAGAGATTTAGAAGAATAGACAATAAAAGAATTGTCATGATCTCAAGAAATATCCTTGGAAAAGTTTTTAAGCTGCATGCCTCGTAATCAGATTACTTCATGAGATATTTTCTCTTCTAAAAATAAAATGCAAGGAAGGCGTTGTGGGTAATGCCTCTAACCCCATCACTTGGAAGGCTGAGGCAGGTTTAAGAATTTGGGTCCAATCTGGGCTACATAGTGTGTTTCAGGCCTGCCTGTATTACCCAGTGAGGCCCTGTCTCAAGACATAGAAACATACAAAGCAGAAATGCAAAAGAAAACTTCATTCAGTAGAAGGTTCCAATTGCAATCACTGGAGGGCCACTAGCTAAAATTTTATTAGGCATCTTTTTAATTATTGCATTGACTTGGATTATTAGTAATTAAGATGAAATCTTGGCTGTTATTGAGTGATAATTATGTATAAGGCAATGTAATATCTCTATTTTACAGAAAAAGGTAGATATTTAATCCTTATAATCCTCTAATGTATTATATTTATTTTACAGATGAGAACACTAAAGCTCAGATTAAGAAGCTACATAAACTTAACATCACAGGAATAAGCTTGGTACTGCAACATGTACTAGTAAATTTTTTTTAAGTATTTGTTGAATTCTACAGGAAAAAATGAAGACAAGGTTTAGCTTTACTTCTTGACTTCATTACCTCCAAAACCATGGGCTTAACCATGACACCGTCCTTCCCTCTTCTAGCATTCTAGGATTTAGTGAGCAGTTGCATCCACTCTTTTCTGATCTTAGCAAAGGTTCCAAATGTGTCTTCAAAGCTCAGCAGCGAGTTTAAAGATGCAACTGGGTATAAGGGGCACAAAGACAGGCAGAAGTGTGGCTACCTGGAGAATTTGTCTACAGGGCATCGCTCTTACCCTGATTGAGCTCGCTGCGGCTACACAGGCACCAAGGTGGGCAGATGTTATCCATCTTCCTTTCTAGCAGGGATGAAACACTGAATTTCTGAGAGCTACCCACTTAAAAGTGTTGACAACTAATTTAATTTAGATATAAAGAGAAACACTGTGTAGGACAAGTAAAACACATCAGAAGGCTGAATGTGGCCTGTATGCAATATGTTTTAAGAGATTCAAATACTAAATGGCTCCCTTCCCAAATATTGTAAACTAGATCTTCTGGAGTCAAAAGATTTGGCTATTGGTCTCATTATTGCATTCATCCCACAAAACTAACTAGGATTTATCTACCACCCTCAGCTCAAGTCATGTTTTGTTGCTGTTGTTTTGGGAGGGTTTTTTTTGTGCCAGGAATTGAACTCAGGACCTTGCATTTGCCAGGCAGGCACTCGTGCCACTGAGCTATACCCTGGCCCTCAAGTCAGGGAAAAGAAAGGCCACTTTCAAATCACTTACCAGGGGGCTGGGGATTTAGCTCAGTGGCACAACGCCTGCCTGGCAAGCACAAGGTCGTGAGTTTAGCTCCTGGTACCAGAAAAAAAACAAAAACAAAAACTGGATTTAAATCAAATCACTTACCAGTCCCCACCCACCTTTCTCCATCCCTCTTTCTCTCCCTTCCTTTGCTTTTCCCCCACCCTGTCCATCTGCAGACAAGTGGCCCCACCCTACACACTCTCTACACTCACCCACCTCAGACCTGAAGCTTTCCAGTTAGTCCTTCTATAACCTCCCCTGAAACCCTTCAGAGTCCTCATTAGTTGAAAAAAACCAAACTGGAGATGACCCTACAGTGCAGTTTTTACAACTCCTCGGTCAGAGTTAGGTCTCATTCTCAATGTTTCCATGAAGATTCCCAATTAATTGTCAGAACTTTATCATCTTGCTCTGCATGGTAAGAGAGCGTCTCAGGGAATGCCAGGGAAAATTCCTTTTCAGTAGGAGTCATAATGCACGTTCATAGAACACCAGAAAATGCCAGGTCTTTCACCATTCATCAGGTCTGAACTGATTAAAATTTATGAATTTCAGATGATTACCACTTAAAAATTCTGGACACAGAGACACTTAAAAGGATTTTAAAACAGTAGCATCAGGAACACATACCTTTTACTTCCTATGACATATGAAGTAGAAAGTGTTTATCACATTGATTTTAAATCCACACTTAAATATAGTATACAATGAGAAAAAGGTGAAAAAACTTAGAAGAGCTAAAAGCTGCTCAGTAAAAGAACAGAATATAGAATGGAAATTTGTCCTTTCAGGAGCTCAGATCTTGGATCACTCTTCCTTCTGCATTCTATTCCTCCTGTTTCTGATGTACAAGTTTCTTTATCATAACTTCAGTTCCAACTAACTTTTAACTGCAAAAGGTTTTTAAACTTTAAACTAAAAGTTTATCCTTATCTGTAAGAGATATACTATGCAACAGTACTGAGGTTTTTCTCTACAATGAAAGTTTATAGGGTCCAATCAAAAAATTTTTTGAGTTAACAAAAGTGTATTTCCTCATTGTTTGGTGGCTCAAAGTCTGAGATCAAGGACTGGCAGGTCTGGTTTCTCTGGAGGACTCTCTCCTCAGTTTATGGATGGTCGTCGTCTTGCAGTAGGTGACTGCCTTCTTGTGGATGTGTCCTTTCCCCTGTAAGAACATGCATCTCTGGTGTCTGTGTCCAAATTGCTGCTACTTCTTTTTCTTTTCTTTTTTGTTTGTTTTGTTTTGTTTTGTTTTGTTTTTTGAGACAGGGTCTCACTATATAGTTCAGGCTGGCATGAACTCACTATGTAGCCAAGACTGGCCTCAAACTCACAGTGATCCTCCTGCCCTAGGCTGGGATGACAAGTGTGTGCCACCACGCTCAGTCTAAATTACTTCTTATAAGGCCACCAGTCAGTTTGGATTAGGGCTCACCTTTAGGGTCATGTTTTAACTTAATCACCTGTTTCAAGTCCCTGTCTCCAAATATAGTCCCCTTCTGAGGTTCAAGGGGCTTAGATCTTCAACATGGAATTGTCACAGGACAGGATTAATAACTATCAGGTATTTTCAGTATCGTTGATGTAAGGATTAGCTCCTGGGACTTTTCTTCTCCTGGCCTGCAGGGATAGGTACAAGCCTGTAGAAAGCATTAACACAGACCGTGGTGGTACCACGTAATGCCTCCTAAAGGGCCTCTACCTGTGGACAGAGATGGCTGTTTGGTTTGTAACTTTTACTAGCATCACCTGTGACAAACAGGACAAGCCTGATTCACTCCTGCTGGGCATGTCTGTCCACTCTTGTGCCTGCATCTCAGGTTCTGGGTGGTATAATAGTTCCTGATCTGCCAGCAGAACCTCAGCCTGTGCTTTGGCCAATGATGGTGCAGGGACCACTGTAAATTCCATTCAGATCAGTCCCAGCACAGCTTTGTTATTGCCCAGAGTCTTGTGATAAGTGAAACCCAGTGCTACCGAGGGTCCAATCAAATTTAAAGAAAAGGAGGGGACTAGGAGTCAGCATTAGCTAATTTTAAGTGAGACTCTCCATTTGATCCAAATATCTAGTTTGAAGGCTTTCTAACCACAGATTTTTTTGAAAACTGCTACCATAAAACCAAGGAAAATTAACATAATATCTCATCTGTATAACCTACTCACCTCAAATGCCAGTTTTTGTTTATTTGCATTTCATAACATTTTTTAAAATGTAGTCGTTATGAACAATTCATTTCTCATTGAAAAATTTCCACTCAAGGCAAGTGGCAGCAATGTTTTAATTTAAATGGTAGAAAATAAATAAATAAAAATAAATTGTGGTGTGCATAAAATCTTTATTTTCATATACGCTACCCCATTTCACATCTCTAGGTGATGTAGACAGTTTATTCACAGGTTATATGCCCTTAAAAATCTTACCTGGCACTGGGGGTGTTGCTCAGTGATAGAGCACTTGCCTAGTGTATGTGAGGTCTGGGTTCAACTCCCAAGAAGGAGAAAAGAAAAAAGCCTTATCTGAAGAGATCAAAGAAAGCACTTTTCTATCTTCACTAACTTCTTGCTTGAATGCAAAGAGTAAGGTATATGTCATTGTGCTCTTACTTCCATAAGAGCTGCACATGCAGGGCAGCCAACGAGATTTGCGTGAAGTATTTTTACTTACAGTTCCTCTCCTTGTCTGGCTTTCTTATCTGAAACCAGATAGACAGTTCCAAAACTTCCACTGCCAAGTCTCTGCCGAAGCACATATCTTCTTGCAATCAAGGCTCGTGGAGAAGTGGAAATGGCTACTGATCCACTCCCACACTTAGCAGCCTCTCGGAACTTCAGCATTTCCCCAAACAGGATTGAACTGGTCTATTCATTTATGGAAACCTAATATTCAATTGTCCAAGGTCAAATTCATCCAAGAAGTACTGGTCAATGCCTAAAACATGAAAAGTCCTCAAGTCAGTTCTAACTGATGCAAAAAGATTCCTAACCAAAGCTCTAAGTCTTTGACAGTGAGTCCTGCAGCTGGATTAGAAGATTAAATGACAACACACTGCTCAGCTTTAGTGACCTGAGAAAGGGGAAAAATGATAGACAGTGCAAATTCCAGAAGCAGACTTTCATAGGAAGACAGCCTTCCTTTATTCATTCAAAGTTATCAAAACTGATTTACAGCCAGATTTCCACAAACTTCTGGGATGTATATCTGTTTCATAATCAATAATGTTTAAAACTTACACATCCCACCAATTTAAGAAAAATTCAAATACCAGACCATTATCACGTCCTTAGATCAGCGCCCTTGCATCGACCTGAGAGGAGAATTAGATGTTTGTTTGGCTTACATTTGTTTTGGTTCACAAACAATGAGTTAGGATCAAACCAGAAATTAGCAAGATCCAGGTCTCTTCTGGATGTTTCTGGATCTGTGTCAAGGCAACACTCCATGGTGAGGAGCACAACAGTTATGTGAAGTCCAGATGCAGCGGCTCCTACTTATAACAACGTGTTTCAACCCAGCAGCGTAGGCCAGGCTGCAGAATGCTCTGCGACCGGGTTCCTGCCACCCGCGTCCCAGCCTGCTCTGCAGGCCGTCTGCTCCCTTAGCGTCCTTTGTGCAGAATATACCGGCTGCCGGGATTCGAGAGTCACCTTTGCACTTTTCAACACCCTACACCCGCCAAAGGTGCCGAATGAATCAGAGCGGGCAATACACCTTCGGTACCTTCATTGTGCCAGGGCCTGGCACAACGCCTGGCACATGCCAGGTGTTCAGTAGACATTGTAAGGGCGAACAGTGACCAATGGACACAACTGCTGCCCAAGAAGAAAGAAAGTGGGGAAGTTAAGAAAGCTGGATGAGAATTCAGCTGGGGTGTGGGAGGAAATTCCCACTACACATGGGAAGTGACACTAATCTCATTGGGGCAAAAGAGAAGAGAAAGTTCACCCAAGTAAAAAACCACAGTTCTTGGCGGTAATAAACAAGATGAAGCCAATGTCACCGCAGGTTCTGCTAAAACAGGAATCTAATCTTAAAGGTTCACCTTACCTCAGGGTAAAGCGAACAATTTCATTTTCTATTTACCTTCAAACAAAACTGACATTTTCGAAAAACCAGTTAACATACACGGAGGGGCACAGGACACACTTACTATCCCAGGGAGTGCAAGGCAGTAGGGGCGTGAGCGGGAGGCCCAGAAGTGCGACCCCGGCCGCGGCGGCTGGACACCGCTGCCTTCCCCCGGGGAGCCCCGCACCTCGGGGAAAGTCACGCGCATTAGCTTTCCCCCGCGGCGGAGGACCGCGGAGCTCCAGGCAGCACAGGCCGAAGCTGTTTGGTACTGTTGCCAAGGAAACGGCGCGGGGCATTTTGGGAAGTCGGGGCAAGGCGGTCATCAGGCGGAAGCGTCCCCGGACTCAAGAAGGCGGGGCAAGAGAGGGGGCGGGCGAGCCCAGCTTCCCTAAGGAGACGGAAGCGCTCCGGAGCGGACGTCCCGGCCTTTTTCAGCAGCCCCGCGCCTGCGGTCCCTCGAGCGCCGTCTCCCACAGCCGGCCGCCCGCCCGCGGCGCCACGGAGCCTGGCTTCCAGGTGACGTCAGAACCGGGATTTCCGGTCCGCCCCAGGCCGGCTCCGGTGCGGGTCGGTGCTCCTCCCCGGGTCCGTGGGCTTCGGGTGGCGCGGTTGGGCCTCGGGAGGACCGAGGGGGTGCTGCGCTGCCGGCCGGGGCGGCAGATGTGCGGCCTGGCACGGACGGCTTCCAAGGCCGATACTGGAGGAAGTGGGCCGGACCTCTTGCGCGCCTGCGCCCTGTGCGGCTCTCGTCTGGCCCTGCTGCGTGCTGTGCTGTCGTTGGCTGAGAATGCGCCGGCGCCCGTGTCCCCCAAGGTTCACGTGGGCGACTTAGAAATCGCTCGGCACTGTGCAACCCGAGGTAGTTCCGAGAGACGGCCAGGGCTGGAACTTGGGGGAGGTGAGTCTCAATTAACATGCAAAAGCCATGTGACAGAATGTCACAGTTTTAAACGAAGACAGGATTTAGTACCAGTGCCATGATAAAGGCTGACACTGAAGAAACGAGTGACGCTGACCCTCTGCCGACGCAGCGGAGAACGGCCAGGCCCACGAGGATGGGGCGAAGAGCCCGCCGGGTGGAGCTGGGTTGTTGGGTCCCTGACGGGAGGCAGCAGTCTGTGCCTCGGTATAGATTGTGCAACTGAAAAAGGTAGGCGGGACTCAAGGCCTGAAGCAAGTTCCCAGGCTCCAGGAATTAAACAAGAAAGCTTGGCTCGGTCAGGGTTCTCCGTACTTTAACTGAGGCTCAGTGCTTTCTGATATTTGAATGAGATCGATAAGGATAAGCTATATTTTTGTAGTTTAGGATTTTTTACTTTGCCCCCCCCCCCAAAGTGGTGACTACAGAATCATCTCAGTGTTATAATCCACAGAACTTCTGTACCGGTATTCCTCACTGCATTTTTACCAATTTCCTTTAGAATCACCTGCAACCTCTTGCCTATCCAAAGATCAAAACCCATGAAACCCCTGAGTTTGCACTCCATATCCCTGGGAAAACAAAAGAGAATTTAAAAGGCACTCACTCAGCTGTTACTGCCTGAGGATGTAGGTAAGAATCAGAGAAGTTGACACCATTCGTGTCTATTTAAAGAGCACTTCATGACTTTAGCTCGAAATTGTGCTAGAAGCAGTGAACTGGTGCCCCCACAGCTGTCATCACTTGAAATATGTTCTGTTGTTTTAAACAGGTAGTTCTTCAGTCTGTCATCATGGGGATCCGTGGACTAATGAGTTTTGTGGAAGATCATGGTAATGAGTTCTTCATTGATTTGAAGTTGCGGGACACAAAAATTATCATAGATGGCTATGCACTTTTCCACCGACTTTGCTTCAATTCAAACTTGGAGCTCCGTTATGGAGGAGACTATGATTCTTTTGCAGAGGTTGTAGAAAAATTCTTTGAGTCACTGTTTGCGTGTAATATATGTCCATATGTCATACTAGATGGAGGATGTGACATTTCTGATAAAAAGCTTACAACTTTAAAGGATCGAGCTAGAGAGAAGATCCAGATGGCCCATTCCCTTTCTGTTGGTGGGGGTGGATATGTGTGTCCCTTACTCATCCGGGAAGTGTTCATACAGATTTTGAACAAACTGCAAGTATGTTTTGTCCAGTGCTTTTCAGAAGCAGATCAGGATATTATGACGCTTGCCAATCACTGGAATTGCCCTGTGCTATCGTCCGATAGTGACTTTTGCATTTTTGATTTGAAAACTGGGTTTTGCCCATTGAATAGCTTTCAGTGGAGAAATGTGAACACTATTCAGGGGACCAAAACGTACTATATTCCTGCCAAATGCTTTTCTCTTGATGCCTTCTGCCATCACTTCAGCAATATGAACAGAGCTCTGCTACCACTCTTTGCAGTGCTGTGTGGAAATGATCATATTAATCTGCCTATTGTGGAGACATTCATAAGTAAAGTATGCCTTCCTCTTAGAGCTACTAGTTCTAAGGGGAGGAGACATCGCCGAGTTCTGGGAATTCTGCAGTGGTTGTCTCACTTTGCCGACCTTAGTGAAGCACTAGATAATGTTCTCAAACATCTGCCAAAAAAGGATCGAGAAAATGTTAAGGAACTTCTCTGCTGCTCCATGGAGGAATACCAGCAGTCCCAGGTGAAGCTGCAGGACTTCTTCCAGAACGGTGCTTTTATCTGTCCAGATGCCATGAATCTGGGTTTACCAGAATGGGTGTTGGTGGCTTTGGCTAAAGGCCAGCTATCCCCTTTCGTTAGTGATGCTTTGGTGTTAAGGCGGACCATTCTTCACACACAAGTAGAAAACATGCAGCGACCAAATGCCCACAGAATCTCTCAACCCATCCGGCAGATTATTTATGGGCTGCTTTTGAATGCTTCATCACATCCAGAAAACATGTCCCAGAATACATTGCCATCTCAGCGTCTAGCTTTCAGTGAAGTGGAAAGGATTAATAAAAATATCAAAACATCAATTGTTGACGCAGTAGAACTGCCCAAGGACTATTCTGACTTGAGCAAACTGACCAAGGTGAGGATTTGTAATACTAATGAAAGTTTTATAAGTCACTTTATAGGTTCTAAGGTGCTTTCATAGATACTCTTTCTCATAGTCTACCAACTCCAGGTTGGTTGCTGTCTTGTCTTCATTTCATAGATGAGAAAACAGAACTCAGATGAACTAGGTCACTTTTTTTTTTGCTGCTGTCAGTGCTAAGATCCAGACCTGGCACTTTTAGCTCTAAATCCACCATTTCCACTGTACTTCAGTAGCCTTGTAGTTACTACCACTTTTTGTGCCAGCAATGAGTACAATAGGGTTATGTGACAACAAAAGAAAAAGAGAAAGTCTCTGAACTGCAAAAATAAAGTGTACACATAGGCACTTCATACAGACATAACTTACGTTACAGACTACATAAGATTTCAGGTAAGATTAGAATTAATGTGTAGGTGTAATGCTTTTATTAACGAGGAATTCTCTTAGCTTTAAGTTTGTGGCACCACGGTAACTTTGATACTAAAAAGCTCTTAACCTAAGTCACTGTTGCACAAACTTGAATAACACTCAAGACAAATCCCCGTTTCAAAGGGAGAAAGTCCTCATGGATCCCGCTATTCCCTTTCCTTTTTATAATACTATACACATATATTAAAATAACAAATGTGAAACTGCTTATCCTGATAACACCATTAGACTTACAGTGTAAATTTAGATAAATCTATAAAACCAACTGCATCGCCCATTGAGTTTTCTTAGATCCAACCAAACGTCTGGACTCACAGACTCAGATCACTCTTGGTGCGAGAGTGGAGCAGCAGCCACAGCTCCCGGTGGGTGAGGCAGACTTTTTTTCCGTGGGAGTCTTCCCTGCCTTCTGTGTCGGCCTCCACCAGTGGTTCTCCACCATCAGCACAGCAGTTCTTAGTCATTTAAATTTTTATTATTTATAGTTACCACTTTTATGACCTACTGAACAAATTATTTATTCCAAGATCATGAAAATGGTTTCTTGGGTTTCACATTTAAATCTGTAGTTTATCCAGAATTGATTTCTTTGTGTGTATGGTATGAAAGAGAGATTGTGACATGTTTCCTGCATTTGGAAATCCGAGTGAGTCAGTGGAGCGTAGGATGCTGATTATATTCCCTCCTAAGTGGACATGACACGATGTTTTCATCATTTACGTGAGCTCAAAGTAGAGCGAAATTTTAGTTCTCTCTGTGCTGTCCTTTGGCTTCCCCTTGGCAGGGGCTAATCCAAGGGTGGTGAACCTATAGCACACAGGTATTGTGTTTCTAAGACAAAAGGTATTAATGTAGAGTTGTTCTGGGTGTTCAGGTTTAATTGCAGTGTTGGCACTTCCTAGTAAACAAGTGGGGTTTGGGTTGCAGTTTGGCACGTCTCTAAAAGATTTGCCATTGCTGAATCAGTTCTGCATTTAGTTTAGTGCTTATGGCCCTAATTAGCCTATAATCATTCTAAACAGGACCTTATTGTGATTTCCAACACAAGTGCAGGTGCAGTACAAAAAAGGTACAGAAACTTTGTAATCACAGCTATTTATTTTTAAAACAGGAACACCTCATCTGCTTTTGTGCCATCTCTTGAGATGGAACTTCAATCCCACAGAAATCACATCACACAGTGTCATGTTCGTTATTAGTTGCCATGGAGGGAACACCACTCAGTCAACAAGTACAAGGTTAATTACAAGGAGATGTGGAATGGGACCATCCTGGGTGTGAGCAGAAGGCAGGACCAGGCTCCTCTGAGCCAGCTTCTTCTGCAGGACTTTTACTCCCCGAGGGAAAGGAGTTTTTACATGCATAAAAAACCTGATCAGCTCTAATGGCTATAAGCAGACTAGATCCGGAGAACTAGTGAATTCAGTGAGACTTCTGCGATTTGTTCTGCTGCCCATTGTATAGACAGGCTGGAGAAAAGCTTAGAAACTTGCCAGAGTTAGTGGAGAGCAGAACATCTTTGAAGGGAAAGTTTAGACCTTATTTTGTTCATAAAGTTATAACTTGAGAATTCAGTAATTTAAGTGTTACATGACAGAAAAGAATGTATTTGGGGCTTTTAATAGTTTAGGACATTCATTTTTAAGTAGTTAATGCTACTTACAGTAGTTGTTAAATTGTAAATCAGAAACACTATTTAAAATCATTGTGCTATTCAGAGGCCTTCCGCATTAATGATGCAATTTTTGTCAATTGTGTGTTGTATTTCAAGTTAACATTTCTATTCTCAGCTGTCTACCACCCTTTCCACTGTCTGGTGCTAAGAAATGTACCAGATTCCTTCATCCTCCCAGAAAGAAGAAAAATCTTTTTTCTGGCAGCAGGTAGACACTAGGAATACTAATATTTTCTTCAAGTCTGATTATAAAGTTCCCCTGACAGTACCCTTTTAATAGTCTGAATGCCCTTACATGGAAGAGAATGAATTATGAGGTCTATAAGAGTGTCAAAGTCTTGAGATTCATTAAAGTAAAATTTCATAAAGAAGTTCACAGCCCTTTTGGACTGATTCCTCTGAGCTTTTACTGGAAGTACACTCGAAAGCACAAGTAAAGGATTTCATTGTGGTGAGTTACTGAAAGCAGAGTGCAGATAGTGCTTAAAAGGTTCCCAATGTGCCTTGAATGTGCCCCTAACCAGTCAGTAGCCAGCCTGTCACAGTCCCTGCATAGGAGAAAGCAAAGCCATTAAAACATTCAGCAGGAAAGCTGACCCAACATACTGTATATGGCATACAGCAAAGGGGCACGTAAAAGTTTGTCTTCTAAGGGTGATCTCTAACTGCACTGCAGAGAAAGTGAGTGCCCAGTACTAGATAGCAAGCACAAGTAGAATACTGGAGTAGAATACCTGGGATCCCCTTAGATAACTGAACCAAAACTTGGGGTAGGACCAATCGGACAGCTCCCAATTGGTAAGTACCCCGAATATACTCGCCAGCTTACCAGAGCAGATGAAGGCACAGAAGAAAGGCTGTTTAGGGGTAGTTAACCATGCCCACTTCCAACCAACCATATTTATTGTGCACCATATTAAGGTTCTAAGCACTGTATTAATGTTTTAAACACTAGGTATGACTGATTTTTTTTTGGCAGAGAAAGTTAAGTTTCACAACTGTTTAATATCTTCATGCTACTGAAAAAAAAAGATACTCCAGTAATTTGCAGGACATCTGGTATTTTCAGCTGTCCTTGGTGAGGCGGCAGATGCTTCTGTTAGAAACTCTGAAGGTGAAACAGACTGCCCTGGACCCCGTCCCGCTTGCTTTGAAGTTGCCCATTGCTGTCACTTGCTACTGGTTGCAGCACACGGAGACCAAGGCAAAGCTGTATCATCTACAAGCTCTGCTGCTGGGCATGCTGACGGGCCCCTTGCATGCCATAATCAACAGTTCTGGTAGGTATTTTAGACATTCAAAGACTGTCCTTTTGCATGTTGCTTACAAACTATGTCTCTTCAATAGTTCACACAAATAAAAATATCTCACCTGCATCAGTTACATGAGAAATTACTGTTTTTCACTCACTGGTAAATGTTTTAACACTTCTGTGTGCTAGACTTGGTGCCAGAGTGCTTGACTCCCAAGTATACAGCTGAGATGTGCTGGTACTACCCTGTCCCACTTGTTCTGTGGCACCTGACACTTCAATATGTGAGGTGTGGCAAGGAGTCTCGCCAGTTGCATTGTGTATTCCATGCTGTCTCCCCCATCATTCATACATTAGCAACATCACAAAAAACATTTAAAATTGCCCAGAAATGAAACTTCTGGTTACCTGCAACCACAATAAACTTACTCATGTTTGTGCTTTTTTTAAAACAATACTATTTTTTGGACTGTTTCAATTAGTATGCAAGAATAAAAAATCTTTTCTACTGGAGGAATACATTAAGGCAATTTCACCTGTATTTAAATATCAGGTGAAATAAATATTGAAGCATGGGAACACTTTTGTTCTTTAATGCATTCATAATGTTCTAATGATGGTCTAAACCTGCCTGAAATCATTGTGTTCTACAACAGTGTTATGTGGTAGCCGATAGCCACAGGTAGTTAATTCAAGTTACAATCCACTTAAAACTTCAGCTTCTCTGTCACACTAATCCTGTTTCAAGTGCTTAGCCACCACGTGTGGATACAGGATATTGCGTTGAACAGCATGGTCACATTTACCTTTTTTTTTCTTCCCAGTGCTGGAGTGTAGTTTACTTTTTAAAAAGAATAAACAATGAGCAAATTAGCATGGACCAAAAAACACCCCAAGTATTAAGGCTTACATGTGACAGCAGCCTTCAGATGGACTGCTATGAAGGACAGCATCTTAACATGAAACAGGACCCACTCGTGTCCCACAAACACAGGCCAAGAGAATTTCCTCTCTGGATAATAGGTACAGTATAGGGAAACTCTCAGAGCATGAGGTATCAAGTTTTACCTGAGTCCTACAGAAGGGACATGTCAAGGGTCTATTTCTTTTCTTTTAGGAAATACGGAATCCGCACCCAGGCAGGCACAGTGCCTCACTGCTCGCTAGCTCGTGAAAGGTGGGCCTCCTTTTTATTACTTTTAAGTTGGTCCAGGTGTTATCTTGTGTCTCTCTGCTTAAACCTGCAGAAATTCACAGGTAAACATACGCAATACTTGTTATTTCCTAAGGCGATTGTTTCTCGCCCTTTATCTTCTAGGAAAAGACGCTGATTATTTGTCACACTCTGAGACTGAGTCATATTTTAGTCTTCCTCCCATAATGCAGGTTAAAATTTCACTATAAATACCCAGGCTATTTCTTTAGAACAAGTGCACTATAATATGGAGCATTCTGTGATAAGAGACCAGTAAAAAGAAGGATGTTTAATAGTCATCTGTATTTTTCACAGACACATTTTAGATAATTCACATGCAAACAGTTTACAGTCAGGTAGTGCAGCAGTGGAAAAGATCTTATTTCAAGGAGAAAATAGAAAATCGGGGGTTGAGTAAAACTAGGTTACCATTAGGAAGGTACTTCAGTGTAAATATCTCAACCTACACAGCAAGGTATTTATGAAACCAGAAGAGAAAAACAATTTCTTAGACTAGTTTTCTTCCTTGTGGAATCGCAAGTCTTGTGTGTGGAGCAGATGGTGGGTGGTGCTGTGTTTGGGAAGTGCTGCCCTTGATTGTTTCTCTGTCTAGGTAAGGAAGATCTGCGGGGAGGTGGTGCTAAGATGCTGTATGAAGAGTTCCAGAGGGTGAAGGAGCCGCCGCGCCTGGGCCTGCGCTTGGACTTAGACACAGCTCACATCTTCTGTCAGTGGCAGTGCTGTCTCCAGATGGGGATGTATCTCAATCAGCTGCTGTCCACTCCTCTGCCAGAGCCAGACCTAACTCGGTAAGCACCATGGGAAACTTTAGTTCAGGTGATAACACAAAGCAAAGTCTTACTCATAGTTAAACAAAGACGTTACTTTAAAACATCTATGAAACTGATCTTGGATCACTGTTACATCTAAAGAGCTGCGAACAGGAAAAATATTTTCATACCCCCAAGGAATATTTCCATGATAAATCCCAGCTTTTAAAAAATTAGGGGAAAGGGTGCAGTTATTGCTAGGCTCTACTCATTTCTTTACTTCAAGTGGGTTTCATTTGAAGTACTACTTTACAGAGGACTTTTCTGATCACCCTTTACCCTAAGTACTCCAGTCTTGTCACTCCATTATTTTTGCTTCTTACCACTTGGCATACTGCTCACTGATCTGAATATTTACTAAGTGCCTACTCTGTGGTATAGTCAACAACAGTAACAAAATGCTCTCGTGGAACTTTTATTCTAGTGAAATGAGTATTAGACTTTATGTAGCATTTTTATCTTGCCACACAAATCTGAAGAAGCTGAACATCTACACCAGGGAGTGATGATTGCGCTTGGCCCTGGAGTTTAAGCTGGGTTAGACAGAAATGAGAGCAGCACGGGCCCACGGACGTGGGATAGGATCAGTGGATTCGACATTTTGGTGATTCCCTATCCAGGAGATGCCAGAGGGACAGAAGATGAAAAGATGACAGTTATCTCTTTCTATCCAAATACCAGGGTGGAGATTTGACTGTTACTCTGTCCCTAGTACCTAGAGTACTTAGAATGAATGGTGATATAAGAAGGCATCTCAAATGTCATGGCGTGACTATGTTTCAAGGTACAAAGTGTCTGATGTATCTCTGGGCCTCACATCTGAATGAACTCCAAACCCCTCTGCCAAATGAAAGAAAAAGCGGGGGATGGGGTAAATTGGCCTTTGACCTATGAATTCTTTATTCCTTTCCTTTAATAATTTAGCTTACTCTTCACTGGGTCCTGCACAGCTACTACAACTCCTTTCCCAACAAAACAGGAAAAGCAAGCCCAGACATTCCTGTTCATTTCAGCAGGAGGATGTTCTTGCATCTCAGCAAAGTCAAGCCTTTTTAAATACTGACTTACACTGAGGAAAGGATGTGCTGGCACTGATTGCTAAGACATGAGATATCAGCACTGCCGTAAGTCACGTATGTTAAATTTAGGTATTCCAGTTAATCCCACCTTCTATTTGCAGATAATGCCAGTAGAGTTTCTAGTCCTTTAACAAACTGCCTGTTTGGTTTATCAGGGTCATCTTAAATTCCTTTTCTTTGAAGAATTAAAGAGGCTTACTCAACTTGAGGCTAGCTGTAAAACCAGTAAACATCCCATTTAACTTGATAATTTAATAAGGCAAGAAGAAATTGTATTAATTCATCAGATCCTTCCAACAAGGAACAGATTATTGTAATAATTTTATAGGACAAAGAACTCCCAGTGTTCACAGAAATTTGTTGAAGCCATGTTAATCATTATTGTCCATCTGCACTGAACTGATGCTTTAAAACCACACTTTTCTCCCACTGCATAGACTGTACAGTGGAAGCCTGGTGCATGAATTATGCCAACGACTGCTAGCATCGACTTCTGTGGAAGACCTCCTGAATGTGTGTCCCGAGGCTAAACAACTTTATGAACATATGTTTAATGCCACAAGGTCCTATGCCCCAGCTGAATTATTCCTACCAAAGGGTAAATCCAATACGAAAAAAAAAAGGCAGAAGAAAAAGGGTACCAGTTGGCCAAAGAATAGCGGGAGAGCCACCTCAGACACTGGGTGCTGGTGTGAGGGGAGCAATCGCTTTGGCCTGCTAATGTCGGAAAACTTGGAGGAACACATTGAGGACTCTGTGCTTGAATAAACTGAGTCTCCATCAAACTAGATGAATAATTCTAAAATTACTAAATTCTTAAATTTTTTTAATCCCCCATACAACTTCTTTTGTAATTCGGATTCCGAAGTATTTTGTATACTTTCAATACAGTATGATTAAAGAAACTTCTGTGTACATGAAAACATATTAGTACCTCTCATGATCCACTTTAGTAAAATTACTTTACAGATGTTAAAATTGCAACAGCTTAGCCAGCTGTGTTTGCAGACAGAGTGGAAGTCCCACTTCTGTTACTGACCACAAATAGAAACTGGTAATGATTTCAAAAATTTGTCTTTAATAATTTATTATTTTTGTACAAAAACTGGGCTCTGAAGGAGAAGTGAGGGCATCAGGTAGAAGAAATAACTTAGTAAAGAGGCCACACAAAGTTGATGGGTATTAGGTACACCCCAAGTTTAAAGGCAGAAGTTGCAACTACAGTGGCCTCAGCAACACAAGCACTCTGGGCTGCTCGATCTAGAGAAGGAAACAGTGAGAAGAAATGAAAATATCAAAGGTGCAGAAGGCAACAGTGGGCTCAAGGTACGCTTCTGCTACAGGCTTCGGAAAATACTTATGGTTCATACCTAACTTTTCAGAGGTGGGAGTGCAACCCTCAACCCCATCCGTGCATAGCAAGCGCTCCACTACTGAGCTACAGCAGCTTCCTGACTCTAGGCCACATGTTTTGAAAAAATAGAATGAAAAATATCAGATACACACATTAGATGGTTGTGAAAAATGTGTGTCCTACTGTAGTCAAAAACATCTCAAAGGCACTAGTATTTTCTAGAAGATACTAGAGGGTCTAAAATTACAGATGCCAGCAGTTGCAAAGGTGCTGGCCAATTCCAAATAAAGAACATAAAAACAAGTAGAATGAACACATTTGGGCAAGATCTAAAAAGTATATTCCAACTTTCATTTATTCACACAACTGCATTCTTCCTTTGCTCTCGCTGTGGTGTATTCTATCCCAGTACCCAAAGGCGCTTGAAGCTGCCATCTCGAACAGGCCTGTGTCCAGTTCCTACCATCTGGCAAATAACTCTACGCGCTTCTAGAAATACTGTTCTTAAGAGGAGTAAGCCCGGCACCACTCAGTGTCACACACATACCTGGCAAGTGGTGACTGGTTTTAGTCATTTACAAAATGCAGAAATACAAGGTCATTTGTTTCTACCATGGTCAATGCTAAAAACTCTGTTTCAATTAGTTTTTGTTTTGTCTTTTTTGAGACAGGGTCTCGCAGTGTACTGCAGGTTAAACTTGAACTCATGGCGATCCTCCTGCCTCAATCTCCCAAGTGCTGGGACTACAGGTGTGAGCCACCACACCAGGCTTAAATACTTCTTGAAATAAGACTTTTTTATTACTTTAGAGAGAATACATAGGGCTCCTTGAAAGTTGTGCTTATGTTTTCAAAAAGGTGATTATTCCCACAAGGATCCAGAAAAAGCAGTCTGGTGCATCCATTTTTAGAAGAAGTATGTTTTACCCATAAGGAGTTGATCTCATGAGGAGTGTAATTATGTTTAGCAAAATTCTCTCTTCCTAACTCCTGGAGTTTGGAGCTAACCTAGAAATTACACCAATATGTATGTCCTGCTTTCTGGCTTATCATAAACAGTGCTTCTTAAAACCACCAGCCTTGCATGAAACACCATTCCCACTTAGCAAATACATGATCTGACTGGCAGGGGCCAAACTGGAGAGAGTATGTGCAATACAGTTTAACTGAAAGTAGTGAATTACATGAGTCATCCTTTTCCTTCATGAGAGGGTTTTTTAGATGTTAAGTCACATTTTCTTCTGTAGTCATCACCATCAGGGCCATTCACTTGAGAGTATCCAGCTACGCAGTAATGGGCTGCAGTCTAATACAGTACTTGCTTACTCTATGGAAACTTAGGAAAATTTACCTTTTCCTGTATGTAGTGGGCAAGAGGTCACAGACACCCCACAGGAGTATCTAAGGGGGTTCACCAAAAAGTAGGCATAGTAACTAGCTGTCAAGTCATTTTTCTTTAAACTCCTTGGGAGACAACACAGCAACAATATTTTATAAAGTGGTCAATGGGGTGCAAACGGACTGCTACAAAAAGGAGACAACAACCGCAAAAGAAAAGAGGTTAAATTACAAGAGGATCCCAGGGCTCGCTTTAAAAGATAGGAGAGCCCTTTTTGTTGGCAAAGGCTTGTAACCCCAGCACACACTGAGGCAGGGCCGCTGTGAGTTTGAGGCCAGCCTGTAGTTTGTAGTGAGACCCATCTCTAAACAACAAAGACAGGAATAAAATTCACGTAAGCTATAAAATGCAAAGGGAGCACCTGTGTAGAAGCAGAATGTTGTATGTCGCATATTCCATTTTAAAACTCTTGTTTCCCATGTTTTTAATCAAGTCTTTAGGTTAGTCTTGCTCTGATTCAGTTCTTGCAATGAAATCTTATGTGAAGCTTTGAAAATAGTAACTCAGGAATTCAAGTATGTAACAAAAGGAACTTTGGGCAGCTAAGATAAATTTTAGGGGTAAAACTGGAAAGAAATCATTTACTGTATCTGTAGTTAATAGTGATAAAATTATACTTGAAGTCTATATAGTACAAGCTCTTTTTCATACACCTGGATTTTGAAAGCTTATTCATCTGTAAATATAATCATAATTCTTTCATGCCAATTGATTCTGGCAAAAGAATTCAAATTAACTTTAGTATTTCAATTTGAACCTCTAATTTGAATTAATTATAATTTTAGAAGATAAAGGTCTTTATCACCAGAAGGGACTAATAAATACTATTTTTTCCTCCTGTGTGTATGAAAGCAAATGAATCGATTACTAGGTCTCAGTTATCCTACACATAAAATGAAAATTACAATAGTTCATTACAGTGTTATCTATTCTTTTCTCTTTTTCAATCAGATTTTATTGGTACTTTGGGTTTTGTTTTTTGTT